CCCTACAACAAAAGTCTCTAAACTCTGTAATGTTTAAAAGCTCTTACCTAGTATTTTTTTTTACTGCTGTGTTGCTTGATCTGTAATTATTCTGCTTTGGTTTCGTCTAACAATTATCAGGATGTTCATGACCTCTTTTAACAAATATCCTGACTTCTTTCCTAGAATCATGGAATAGTTTTGGTTGGAAGGGAACTTTTAAGGTCACATAGTCCAACCCCACTGCAATGAGCAGGACATCTTCAACTAGACCAGGTTGCTCAGAGCCCTATCCAACCTGACCTGGCATGTCTCCAGGGATGGGACATCTACCACCTCTCTGGGCAACCTATGCCAGTGTTTCACAATCCTCATCGTAAAAAATTTCTTTCTTCTATCTAGTCTAAATCTACCCTTTTTCAGTTTAAAACCATTACCCCTTGTCCTACCACAATTTAGTCACTTACTACATCTCATTACAGAGAAGAACACCTGTACGCGCATACATTTTTTAAGCAAAAGGGGATTCTCTGAATTAAACTGTTGCATCTGTTATCCATTCTTACAATATTTAGAAAGGCAGAAAAATGTTAGGAATCTACTTGGAAATTTGGATTGCCTACATAAAGTTCAAGAAATAGTCTATATTTTCACTAAACTTTTTTTCTTTTTTCAAGTGATACAAGCTTAAAATAATTTCTTTCAAGTTACCACAAACACAAAAGCAATCACCAGATACATTAAGTCTAGATAAAGGCCTGGATACAGAACTTAATCTGGAAAAATACTTTTACCAAAAGCAGTAACTAAAGATCTGGTATAATGGAAATCCACATGCAATTTTCACTACACTCTTTTCTATCAAGAAAATCTTTTCACTTTGACTGATAACTGACTTGAAAAGAAAAATTCATCCCCAAATGCCTCCTGGCTTCAAGTTAAATCCAGTAGGTCAAGAAAAATGATTTAATATTAAAAAGTCATCTAACATAAGCACATTTAAGGTTACATAAATACAATCAAAGTTATTGATTTTGGAAACGTAAAACAAAGTAGCAAGTATGTAAGACTGCATCTTGGTTCTGAACATTTAAAAAAAAAAAAGAGAGAAACAGATGTTAAAATAAATGCTCTTGGCAATAAATTTAAACTTTGTATAATCCCACATACACACAAAAGGAAAGTCTTTTGAAACTGATGTCTATGGAAGGCCTACTAAAGAGAAAAGCAGTAACAGCACAGAGCTTACCAAACATACTCCACAGCAAGGTCTGTCAAAATGCTTAAACTTTGCCTCTTCCCAGAAGTTCTATATACTTAACATACTTAATTAACAAAATTTCCCAAATCCTGCACAAACATTCCCACTGTATTCTCAAAAATTTAGATTGATTTAGACTCTTAGACTTTAGGATTTAGACTCTTAACGGTATTATTCCTTCCAAACATCAGCTCCCTTTGCCCTTAATGGAGATTTAGCAAAGTACCTCCTGCTTCAGTTTGGAAGGACTCCTTAGCATCCTCCAACAGATCAACATCTGTCAACAGGATGGTTTTACATAACAATACTGCCAGCCTAGTTAGTAGCCAGTGAACAATAAATACAAGTGATGTGGATTTCATTTATTTTTGAGTAACATTTTAAAAAGTCAGCCTGAAAATAATACTATTTTAAGTTTGAGGAGAATAATGAAGGAAACAGTGAGGAAGGTACCTATCACAACATTCAGAGTGGGAAACATGATTTTTAAAAATAAAATTAAGAAATAGAAACTTCACTGAGAGTATTTCATTGCATACCCTGAAAAGCAAACATGCTTTTCTGTCTATGGCTGGTTTGCTCAAGTGTCTAGTCTCATAGAAAACGCTGAAATGGAAAAAGAAAAAAAAGTGATTCTGCACGTAAAGTTCTTAGGCATAACTTAGGAATTCACAAGCTCTGTACTGCATTTGACTTCTAGGTCTTATTTTATTTCCTGAGCACCAGTCCAAAGTAGAACTGTGCCTTCACCTCAGCGTCCCTTCAGCTGAAACAAGAGATGCAAGACACTATCAAAAAACCTGGTTAACTTATCCTCTCAAATGGAGCCCCCCTAGAATTGTTATGAATGAGGGCAACTGCAAGAATGAAAAACTGGAGCAATCACATGCTCCCAAACAGAGCATATAGGTATCAGTCCTTGGTATAGTTCTTTAAAAGTAGAGTCTATCTGCTTGAGCCAACATGACGGATACTGACTGCAAGGACAAGAGACATGGTCCAAAGGAAACAGAAACTCACAGAAATATAGAAACTTCAGTCCTAAGAACATCCTGGGACAGTGAGGGAAAGGAGGCAAGAGCAGACAGACACCTGTAAGAAGTGCCAACGTATCACTCTTGCTGTCTGAAATAAGAGCAGTTCTATTTAAAAACAAGCATATTTGCAGGTGGTTCATTTGCTTGAGTTGTCACAAGTCACTGAAGAATTAACTTGTAGAATTAGCATGCCTATAAAAAGAAAAGCACTGGGAAAACTAGTGTTTCAGCTGCAGAGATTCCTGATAGTCTCTGGAATGTGAGAAACAGCTTCCTAATTGCAAGCGGGACAGTGTGCCTAGCCTACTGTAAAAAAGGTATGAACCCTAGGCACTAACCAAAGAAGAGCTAGATGTACCTGACAGATATCCCATGGAAAGTATTCAAAGAGATTCAAGACCGTACACACAAGGAAATTAAATTAGAAACGAGAAATCAAAATATCTGTTTGACATGTAAGTATCATCTTACAGACCATAACCCCATATGAATGTGTGAAAAAATTGACTTGTTCAAAACTGGGTTTTTTCCACAAGGGTGGGAATCTCAATGTCCTATTCTTGCTTTTAAAGCTCATAATCTTCTAGAGTTTGAGTCTTTAAAGCTTTGCCTCATACCAGTAGTTTGTTAGAATTTTGATTTTTAAAACCTTGTTTAAATTAGTTCACTGGGCCTTCAGAAAACAAAGACCTAGGGAGAGAAATAAAATGTATTTTCATTCATGACAAGTCACTCTCGGGGACCTGACAGGAACTGCCACTAATTTCTTGTATTGCTAGAAGCCAACGATGAAGCATGAACTATGTTCTCCTTGAAAGTCTCAGAAGATTACTCAGGTATACCTTAATCTTAGCTTACCATTTTAAGCAGCTGTCTCACCCAGAAGAGATTCAGATGCTTAAAACGGCTTGCAGAAAAATTATGTATGTAAATTGAGAAAGTCATGCAGATGCTGTCTGTGTCTGGTGGAGCAATGAATGTTCTTTTTCCTGTGTTCTATGATTTGATTGCTTAAGTTTATGGTTCACCATACATCTACCAAATTTAAACAGTCAGATGCCAGCAGATCAGTGGCAAATTAATGGGAAAATGAAAACTTCATGAGAGATATCAAACCAGCCATTAGCACATAAGCCTTGCTAAGCAATACAGAGTTATTAAATACAAAGAAATTCAGATTTGCTTAGACTGCTCGTAGGAAAAGAATCTTGGAATTGATGTTTATCTAGGTGCATATCAGCCATAAAAGTTGCACCTGGATTCCAAGCTGAGCTTGAAGTTTTATTTGGGAAGAACACAGATGAAAAAAATCACCATATAGAAAATCTTTTCTATTTTGCTAGGAAAGGTTCAAACAGGCTCTGCTGATACTTATATGCACTTCACAGTGAGAAGCTGCACACTCTACAAATGAGAATGATCCATTATGCACTCTGTGAGGAAAAGAAAGAAATGTCAGGCCCAAGTCTAACCTGTAACACCATACTAACAATTCTAAAAAGACAAACAGGATGAGGAGTTCTGTGTTCCTGTCTGACAAACAGAAAGACACTAGTACCAACATCATGTTAGCCAGGCAAATGTCTTTGAATCAGACAAAAGGTAAGAATCAGTACCATTACTGAACCATACGTGTATGAAAACTTTACACAATGCCTGTCTAAAAGAAGCAGCTGTGTGAAAACAAGTTACAGAGGCAGGTTGCAGACCACAGACATCCAAACCACAGTCTCTCAACTAGGAGTCAAATGAGACTACTTTCTGGTTTAGCTTGGAAGTCTCTTGTCAGGTCCAAGTCACAGAGACAGACAGATCTCAAGGATGGATCCAAAAGTGGGTTCCCCACTGGTTCCAAAGTGTTTGCTTATCCAACATGAAAAACACTGGTTATTCAACAAGATTCAGTCACTCATTACTTCCATGTGCACCGAACAGGATATATGAAGGCAGACATCTGAAGTAAGATGCGACACACAAACTCATGGAATCTCTGAAGTTTCCTTAGATATTCAAGCCAAGACAATTTCAGTCTTAAAGAACAAAGATAGCTGGGATCTGTTTCCATGATAGCACAAACAGAATCATGACTTTTGAGAAACAGCAAATAAAAATGACTTAGAAAACTTCAATGCCAACCTTAGTGCTTGTGGGCAACCATGCTGTATGT